AGTGCTTTTTTCGCATTGTCTTGTCTTCCCCTGTGCTCCATGTCTGTTCGTCGTCGTTTCTCGTCTATGATACCTGTTAGTCTCTTTGCTCTTGTCCATGCTACCTGTCACGCTCCATGTTTGTTCCTGAGGTTTTTTGTCCTGATCCTTCCTCGTACTCCCCCGGTTTTGGTATGTTAAGTTGTTCCTTGTTTTCTTTTGTCATTCAGCTTTGGGAAATAAAGCTCGCTTTTTGTTACCTGACCTTTTAGTCCTTTTACTGCATTTGGGTCCTATTTTTCCCCAACCCTGACACTGAGTCTGCTTAAAATTAACTTATTATCCTCACAGGATCATTTTATTAAAGTTAAAGCAAAACTTACTAAAGCATTCTAACTGTTTATGCTTTAACAGCAATTAATAAATGATCCAGTCATAAATAATTTGCACCGCGTTGCTATGAGACACCACAGCGTGTTCTCAGTGTTCTGCTCATGCTGCTTTGCTTTTGGCTAACTGTTTTTGTTGTTCTGCTTTATGATTGTAATGCATGACTGTGCCAACATGTGTCTCCTCCTCCCTGCTCTTGTTTGTAGGCTGCACCTGCTTTTCAGGAGACCAGGCCTCGCAATTATGTTCTTTCTGCCATTGCATCAGCGGTAAGAGTCCATCACAAACTGCAGGGTCTGTCACCCAGCAGGAGCTAGGTTAACATGCTAACAGGCACAGAGCCTTAGAACACCACATACTCCAAAAGACAGATTATGTAGCTCACATCAGGGCACAGAGCTGCTGCAGCCTCACCTGACCCAGCAGCTCGTTGGCTAAAGCTATTGAATGTTGTGTCGGAAGCATCCTGAGGCCACAGTGGCTTCAGAACATGTATATAGTCTATCATAAAAAACATCTTGAATTTATTCGTAGAAAGCTAGTTTGTTATTTAACAGGTATGGAGACTTTTTTTAGTTTCATACATTTTCAAAAATACATTGTTAGAATTTCTAAAAAGTGCTCTTACTCAAACCACTAAAATAATGTAAATGAAGCAAAAGGCTCCTGAAATCCTTTCGCATGTACTCACCAGTGTAACGCTGCCTTGCTGGGGTCCCAGTATATTTAAACTGCATGGGATGACGGCTACTAATGAGCACTGCACATGATATATATTTATTTGGAATGCTTTATTGATTGAAGTGGGGCCTGCATTTTGAATTCTTAAACAAGTTATGCTTGTCAGACTGTGGCATGACCTTTGCAACACAAATATAATAAAGACATGAGCATGTTTAGCAAGTTTTGATATACTTTTTTTGACATAGAAAAACTATGATTACTAATGTACATATAGCTTTACACTGGTATGATCTGGAACTGTGACAGGCTCTGAAAGACTCCAATCCACTTCCGTAGTTGCACTTATAAAGGGAAACAATGGCCTTAATGAGTCTAACTGGTCACAAAAACCAAACATTTTTAGATTTTTAGGGTTTTAGATTAGGACCTGGTCCAATGTGTTCTCGATAAAAAGCACTGAAATCTCCCTTTTTTTGATTTTTACAAATAGAATTAAGGTTTCACAAATCTCAAACTGTGTTATAAAGAATGTTTAGCCTCTCTGGGATAATCCAGTCCAGATTTGATGAGTCTAGGTATGGTGGTTTTAGATCAGGACCTGGTCTTATGTGGTCTAGATGCGAAAAAAGCACTGACATCTCCCTTTTTTAAATTTTCACAAATAGAATTAAGGTTTCACAAATCTCAAACTGTGTTATAAATAATCTTTAGACCCTCTGGGATAATCCAGTCCAGATTTGATGAGTCTAGGTATGGTGGTTTTAGATCAGGACCTGGTCTTATGTGGTCAAGATGCGAAAAAAAGCACTGAAATCTCCCTTTTTTGTATTTTCACAAATAGAATTAAGGTTTCACAAATCTAAAACTGTGTTATAAAGAATGTTTAGCCTCTCTGGGATAATCCAGTCCAAATAAATCAGCTATACAGCGATTTAAGAGGTACACACATGGAGGATTGTTCGCTCAGCGCTGTAAATTAAATGTCCCTTAACTTTCCCCTTAACTGCCGAATCGGAAGCTCTGAATCGGAAGCCAACTTCAGCGTCGTCAGGAACGATGGGTTATTCCATCTTTCTATCCATCACTAATGTCACTCTGTTATCACAATGCTATTCTAATCCAAGCCACTTTCAAATTGCAGCTTAACAAAATGTTGAAAATGAGGATCTATATTCCTGTCTTCAGTTCTAAGGCAACTTTCTAATTTTAACAAAATCTTCAATGTTATTACCTAATTTGATATGATCATAATTACACAAATACTTTTGTTTTATATTTTTGTAAATATGGTCATATGACTGTATTTTAAAACACAGTGTATGTAAGCTCTTAAAGAAACTATTTGGGCTGGGTGGCGCTCTATAGCTTAGGGCCAATAGGAGACCTTGATGCCTTCTTTCCCCTCCTCCTCATTAGCATTCTGTGCGACTAGTCTGACTAGTGCACATTTGGGATCCACTAGTACTACTAGTGAACATTTTGAGCCTCACTAGTTCACTAGTGGAATTGAAATGTATCTCACTAGTTAACTAGTAAAGGGCAAAGGGTTCACTAGTTAACGTGTAGACATTTTGAGCCCCACTAGTTAACTAGTAAGGTCAAACGAGGCGTCAACTTGTTAACTAGTGAACCTTTTGCCTTTACTAGTTAACTAGTGAGCGATTCTGGGTGCTACTAGTTAACTAGTGCAGACAAATGTATGCCACTAGTTAACTAGTTGTGCTTCTTTTGTGTAACTAGTTAACATGTCAGAGCTTTTGCAGCGCACTAGTTAACTTGTAAGACTTTTAGCGTCACTAGTACGGTCAGAGGGGCCACTAGTTCATCAAAAAGCTTACAAGTTGGGACTTTGGCTCTACTAGTGCTGCTCCTGGCGTCACTAGTAAGGCTTATGTGCTAACTAGTCGGACAAAAGTGCCACTAGTTGCTGAAAAAGAGTGACTAGTGTAATGTTTTATGTAACTAGTAAAGCAGAGTGCCACACTAGTTTGACCATATATCTAACAAGTGAAATCAAAGAGCCAACTAGTGCAGGCAGCTGCCGTCTGACATCAAGGATATGGAATAAATACTCAAATGGCTTGCCATAGCTACAAGAGCTGCTCCTGGCGTAACTAGTAAGGCTTATGTGGTAACTAGTCGGACAAAAGTGCCACTAGTTGCTGAAAAAGAGTGACTAGTGTAATGTTTTATTTAACTAGTAAAGCAGAGTGCCAAACTAGTTTGACCATATATCTAACAAGTGAAATCAAAGAGCCAACTAGTGTAGGCAGCTGCCGTCTGATAACAAGGATATGGAATAAATACTCAAATGGCTTGCCATAGACGCAGGGGAGCCCTCAGCACTCTTTTTGAGCACACTTTTTTGCGAGGCAAGCGCGTCAGGGTGTGCTCTATCGCCCGCAGCCCGGACTTCTCCACAGTTACAACCGAGGGAGAGGTGAGTGAGGCGCAGTGGCTGCTAAAGCCGGTCAGGGACAGTGAGGTGGAACGGTGTGCTGGACGACAGTACGTGTATACATCGAGCCTGTGAGAGATATAACGCAGGGTTACGCATTGTAACCCTTGTTATATTAACACAGGCGGAGCCCTCTACTCTGGGGCACTGTCTGTCCTATACCGCTCGCTGAAGAGTGGTGTAGGATAATGGTCAGGAGGCGAGGCCTCCTTTTATACGGAAGTGAGATGCGCGCGCATTCAGGTAGGCCCGCCTCGGGGCCGGCTACGTCAGTAGGTGAATGCTTGCATGATAAGGTAGTACCCATAGAGTCCAGTAGAGGGCTCCGCCTGTGTTAATATAACAAGGGTTACAATACGTAACCCGGCGTTTCTTCTGAAGACATAAATAAGTAACAAATTCCCCCCCCAACAGCTTGTGACAAGTTGTGTGTGTTTTTAATGCCTGATAAAGATTAGCAGGAAATGTAAGCAAATGCTTAGGTCCGACTTGTCATCATGTCAACACCCCCTCATCATAGAGTGCCACAGTGATAATCCGGATAATCTCCACATGTCTACCCTACTTTTATAATTTTATAATCATAAATCTAATCGATAGATATATGATTAGAAAATTATAAAAGTAAAAGATTATCCGACTGAACAAAACGTGATCCATCTCTTAAATGTGTGTCAACCACAAACCTTATTTTGAGCTATTTTCCAAAATCCTATGCAGAAATTGCATTTTTTGTCGAAGGAACCCATGCGCAGCTTACTTCCGGGTTTTAGGACGCGTCACTGTGGCACTCTATTAAGGCTGTCCACAGACACACTGCTGGCCCTCCTCCCCTAGAGGGGCTATGTGAGTCCCTGTTATATTTCTACTGTATTATATACCTAAGGCGGGCCATACTCTGAAATATACCTTTCTTCATATAACATTCACATCTCACTATTTTTGCCCATACATATGTAAATATACCCTGCGCTTTACGGCTTTTTGCACTTGCTAGAAAAGCACTCAGTCTTCTGGCCCTTTACCTCAGGGTTTGGGCAGTGAGCCGGTACTCTGCAAATCCACCACCCTTCTTTAGTTTTGCTGGGAAGACTCAGGCTGTGGATTTCCCTTACTGAGTCCATCAGAGGAACCAAAAGGACAAAGTTAAACTAATATTTGTATTTTTTGACTCATTCTTAAGTCTACAATGTTATTTTATGTTGTTGCCTGTTTTATCTGCCGTTGATATCAAATGAGGGATAAATATGTGTGAAAATTAAGTGCACTGAATTTAAACCAAAGTTATCTATTAAGTTTCATTGGGGGGTAAAAGAGCAAACACAACAGACACACCAACCAAAAGACCATGCAGAAACATACGAATAATTTCTCCTTGTTTTGCAAGGCTTTCTTGCATATGTGGTTAAAGTGACTTCCTCATTTTACTTTCCATCTTTACTAAATGGGTGTTTCACTGCAACATTTGTGCAACCTCAGCTACCACTCAGATACAGTTCCTTCCTCTACTTCAACCCATGTCCTTGAGTTCTTCCGTCCCACATCATGCACCGAGGGTTATAAGTGTTCCCGAAGTAGGAATTGAAGGTGACAAGGGACTCTAGAGCGCATGGAGACATCAGTGGACCAGACCATGGATAAGGTGTCCTACACACAGAGTAACCCACTGTTTGACTTGTCCCTCAGCACCACTGACCTCTACAGTTTCCAGCCCGAGGGTGAGTATTAACAGACGCTGAAAACCTTTCAAAGCCAATCGATTGAGCTACTATTCCAAAAACATGGTAACACGATTCACAGGATTTAGATTTTTAGAGGTTCAAGTTAACACTGCTAAGCAACATGTGAGAATGTAATGCTTAATTCAGAAAGGTACTTATTGCATTGCAATACCAATTAACTTTTGAACCATAGCTCTTCAGCGGAAGTATAATTAAGTGACGAAATGTTGTTGAAACTAAATCTCTCAACACCATCCATCCATCCATCTTCTCCCGCTTATCCGTGTTTGGGTCGCGGAGGTAACAGTTCCAGCAGAGAGCCCCAAACTTTCCTTTCCCTGGCCACATCAACCAGCTCTGACTGGGGGATTCCAAGGCGCTCCCAGGCCAGCGAAGAGATATAATCCCTCCGCCTGGTCCTAGGTCTACCCCTCGGTCTCCTCCCAGCTGGACGTGCCTGGAACACCTCCCTAGGGAGGCGCCCAGGTGGCATCCTTACTAGGTGCCCGAACCACCTCAACTGGCTCCTTTCGACGCAAAGGAGGAGCGGTTCAACTCAGAGTCCCTCCCGGATGACTGAACTTCTCACCTTATCCCTAAGGGAGACGCCAGCCACCCTGCGGAGAAAACCCATCTCGGCCGCTTGTATCCGCAATCTCGTTCTTTCGGTCATGAATCTCTCAACACAATAAATGATTAAAGTGGTCCAGAGCATTTTCTGGAACACTCTTGGGGCTACATATTTAAATGAATGTAATAATATGATATTAACCTAAACCAAAAGAACAATTTAGAATATACTAAACTCCACGCAGTCCTTTTGTGTCAGTTATATTGTTGAGATTAAAACATTCAAATATTACAGTTTAGTGTTGTTCACATTGCAATAGAATGAAAAAACACTTTTTATTTTCTTCAGGTACCTTAAAGTGGACCTATCATGCTATATTTAAATGATATATTGTAGGGCCATACCTATATAAGGTATATTTATACGTTTCTGTTTTCAAAATACCAAACAGATCATGCATTTTAGCCATGCCTCATTTCGCTCTATGTGCTGTTTGCTGTCTACGGGTCTGATTCTGCTGACCACGCCCCCCTGCAGGAGAGGGGAGACGTGCTCTGATCAGCTGCTGGGCTGTCAGAAGAGGGGGAGAAAAAGAGATCTTCGTCCTCCGTGTTTTATTATATAGAGTCGTTATTCATTTGTTTTAAAGCTCAATAAATAACAAAGAAGACCTTTGACCAGCACTTTTCTAATTTTGTCCGGAAGATTTAAACTTTAACGGACATCTTGACCGGCGAAACAAACTGAAACTGAAACTCTGCCGCACGGTCCCCTCGTTCCTTGGAAGAGGCGGAGAGGTGGGTGTTTGTCATCTGCTGGTGGACTAACCGGAGAGAATTACAGTGCTTGCCTCGACGGGGAGGGATTGCATTGAATTACAGCAGCGGGAGCAAACGCTTGCCTCGGGGAGGGAGAAAAAAAGCCACAGCGGAGAATAAACAGAAGGGTAACCATGGTAACTATGGGAGGGAAGTCTTCTTCGCTGCTTTTGTGGCAGACTACAGCGCCACTTACAGGCCTGGCATATGTACTACAGCGTCTCCAGCGCTTTCGAGCGGCAATGGCCGGCCGTGGCCAAACCCCACATTCCCCTGATAGGTGGAGAGTTGGCCCAATAGCCGTAGCGCCACCGTCCTGACGTCAGGACAGTGTTCAAATCTGGATCAGTTTTGATCAGATCCGTTGCAGCCCCTTTTTTAGAGATTTGGGTATGGAGGAAAATAGAGAGGGTTGTGTTTTCTGACACTTGGTGAGTTCCCTGGAACACCGGGGACACATATTCATGTATAAAAGACGTACAAAAGTGCATTTTGCATGATAGGTCCCCTTTAAACTCCAGTGTATTGTTGTTTTGTAGATCATTTACATGTTTAAACCATCAAACTTCAACAAAGCGCATGTAAGCGCATGTAGTGCTTTAGGAATATGTTTTTTAACTGTGTTATAAAGATGCAACAACAGTGTGTGTGTGTGTGTGTGTGTGTGTGTGTGTGTGTGTGTGTGTGTGTGTGTGTGTGTGTGTATGTCCAAACACATGAAATAGAGCTATTAATTACCCCTGTGCGTTTGGTGTTTTCGAGGAACATATCGGCTCTATTGCGGCTTTCACACCAGCGCTTTTCCCTTTCTAGCTCCTAGCTAGAGCTTTTCTGGTTCAGCTCCGGTTTCCCTTTTCTGCTCCCGCTCTGTTCACACCGCCCAGAGCTGCCGCTGCTGCGTCATGACGTCACCGTTTACATCGCTGATTTTCTCCCCAACGGAGCTCACAACAACAACAACGGGGGACTGCGTCGGGTCGATGATCGTGTTGCTTTTAATCATACGAAGCCAGATTAAATTAAATAACGACTTCTCCAACCTTATACTTTTCTCCAGAGTGCCGTGGTTCATTGTTTATTAATGTGTTTCAGCGGCATTTACCGACCGCTGCAGTGCTGGCTGCTCTTCCACGGGAGTTTATTCTCCCGTTAGCTCCGGGTTAGCTCACACGGCTCTAAAGTATTCACTGTCTGACTGTCACACAAGCAGCTGATACATATCCCCAGTTCCCCTTAAGTGAATGTGTGTCAGTCTGAATTGACGCTGTTTGGCATCACAACGCTGTTATGAAAGTTTCTCTGGTATAACATGGGTGATGTTAGCATAGCAACCGAAGCTAAACTGACTACTTGCTAAGCCGTGTTCTACAGGCACATTTTACCGGCGTATTTTTCATTATGATTCTACTTGTGATAGTCGGACATGACAACCTGTGCAGCCCATGTATTGATTCCATCCGATAGCTGCTATAATAAAAAACAAAACGTCTGCCTGCTCTCCACAATGATCAATAACAGCGAACGGATGGTCAAAGTAAGGTACAAATAAACAGAATCACACGAAGCCTGGTTAGTGTTGCCTGACTTTATAAAGTGTTTTTTTTTTTATAAGTGTGTGGTTGCCTTCTAGTCACTTTGTTCAGCACTACTGCTTGTAGGCAGGCATGACGAGACTCTTCAGTCGACCCATGTTCAGGGGAGGTGGGTTTAATTTCCTGCACGCCTCGACGTAAGAGAGACGTAAGCGACGCCGCCTCTTAGCTCCGAAGCTCTTGCCTCTAGACCATGGGTGTCAAACTCAAGGCCCGGGGGCCAAATCCGGCCCGCCACTTCATTTTATGTGGCCCACAAGAGCTTGCAAAGAATATAATATGTTTATTATAAGGTTACGTGCCGCTTTACAGGAGCACGTTGCCCATAAACTACATGTCCCACAAAGCATCTCATTTTGTGAGATGCGCACTGAAGAGACTTGCAATGATTTGCCCTAGACTTCTGCTTTCAGACGTAGTTAATTATGAAGTTATTACCCTATCTGATAATAATCCAATGCAGAGGAAATATTGTAAAATAATACATTATTTTATATATATATATTATATATATTTATCTATGTATATTTATACAGTCTTAAAGTTACCACTGGCCCTTTGAGTGCAACCATAATTCTAATGTGGCCCGCGATGAAATTTAGTTTGACACCCCTGCTCTAGACCGACAATTTTTTGGAGCTGGAAGTGAACCGCATTCCGGAGCTAAGAGGCGGCGCCTCTGCGGTGTGAACAGGAAAAACCGGTACTTTTCAGGCTCCAGCTCCGAGCCGGAGCTGAAAACGCGTTGGTGTGAAAGGGACATATAAGAGGTGTGTTGTTAAACTCTGTGCCGCTGACAGAGGGGTTCTGATGTCAGACTGAAGATTTCAGGGTGAGGATGTCAAGGTGAGGGTGTCAGCGTTCTGATGTCACAGGGTGAGGATGTCCTCCGTCTCCAGCTCGCTGCAAAGTCCGAAATTATTATCAAGCAAATTGTGATCTCTGTCAGAGATCTCCGTATGTCTGTGCCGCACCAACGGGACTTTGCAGTGCATGAGGAGCAGCTGATACATCTAGCAGGTGGTCCAGTGATCCGCAAGGATGAGAAATAATAGTTTTGCCCAATCGCCATGACCTGTAACTACATGTCACCCAACAGCAGGAGTTAAACTTATGCCTGTAGTCACACAAACAAAAGAAGAGAAGGTGGAAAGAGTACACGTCGTTCAGGGGATGTTCTCACACAGAACCACAACAATTACGTTTTATTGAATTTATGTTTCAGTTGTTAGTGAAGTTTTTAACAAATAGAAAAACACCTCTGCATAAGTCAGATCTTAAAAAATCATGTGTTGGAGCCATTAACATCCTTTTGAATTATGATGGAAATATCTGACAGATACAGTATATTTGAGTTGCATTATTTATAAAAATATTATGTTTAGAACTGTTCAAATGTTTATGTGATCTAATATTTATATAATTATGATTTGATATGTACACTTTTGCGAATGAACAGTGTCAGCCTCCACCTGTGTGTGTAGGAAGGGGGGCTTTAAATGGACGCAACACTTGTGAGTTTTCAGGCCAGATGGCGGAAGTCCTGCAGTTTTCCGACCACAATAGGATTAGACACTTCAACATGATACACAAGTACAAAATAAATCACAGGTTGTACGGAAACCATCAGTTCCATGGCAAATTGGTGATTGGTTGGTTTATGTCATCAGAGATGTGAATAAAGGAACATGCCTGCAGGCATTAGGAGTGACAGTGAGCCAACATGCACAATACAGGGCTCTGAAGCACCCAAATAGAAATAATCTTTTTATTATTTACACTTGGGTATACAAAATATTTGCACTGTTGCCAATGACTACTGTTGCAGCTGATGAAAATATGAAAACATCTAATTGCTATTCTAAGATGAAAAGCATCACTGACCACTTTATTGTATACTTATTCCTCAAACCTGTAGACCGTACAGAAGCACATGCACACACGTGCACACACATGCACACACATTCACACACATTCACCTCTGAAGCCTTCAGAGGGGACATTAGTTCACGTCTCCGTCATAAATAGTTTGCTCTACTGTCAGTCTCTTGACTTCACTGATGACAAAAAGAAACCCATCTTGATCGCCCTGGGTTTTTATTGTGATTGACAGCTGACGGTCTACCCTGGTTGACCATGCTTCTAACTTCGAGAAAAAGCATTTGTATCAATTGAACCAAGCTACTGTTGGTCTCCTGAAATGACTCCAAAGATCTAAGTTTGCTGCAGATTGTTCACAGTTCCTGTTGTTAACAGTTTCCTGTTTGTGTTTCAGATGTGAAGCGAGCGAGGCCCAGGAGACAGTGGTGTTTCAATGTGGTCATTGTTTACCTCATTTTACAGACCGCTCTTAATGCCTTTCTCATTTATAAAGGTACAAACCCATAGTATTATTTGCTTTCAAATATACAAATATTAAAAATGTGGTATATTCAAGAGAATCAAGAATATTTGTATAATCAAACCTATGCTATTTTATACTGTAAATGTGAGGTTAGTAAAGTTTCTGATCAGTTTCCTTATCCTCTCTGTCCCAGTTTTCACTGTGGAATCTTCAGTGTCAGAGCCCCAGCTGGAAAGGCTGATGTCGAGACTCCCTCACACCTTCCAGACTCGACTCTACAACAACAGTCGAGACACGGAGACCCTCAGGGGCCTTCTGTGGGCCCTGAAGAGCCAGGTCCTCCGCTTTTTATTTGGAATCAGTTATCATCACTTATATCTTCATGTTGTTCATTTCATTTGTATAGGTTCAGTTTAGATTTTCAGTATTAACTGATTATCTAGTTGTTTCTTGACAAAAAAATCCTACAACATTTAGAAAAATATAGCTATTTTCGGAGAGTGAGAGTAGATATCACTCATCATATCACTCTCATGTCTGTTTGTGTACTACGGAGTTGGAATCAGGATGCAGTTAGATCAGCTTAAACCTAATCATTAATAAACTGTGTTTATGAGAAGGTTATGGGCTGGATTTATTTTCCGGCAGTAAAAGCTGTTGCAGTGAGGTCTTCGGGTTTGGCTCCATCATGGCTCTACAGCCGGACTTCAGAGAACAGGCTCACTGACTGACTCACAGATGGTTACACCGTTATTTGTCAAGAAGCTGTTTAAGCAATGAATTCTACATAAAACGACACAATGCAGATGTGTGTCTGAGTTAACGTACAGGATTTGCCACGTTTTGTTAATCTAAAGTTGTTATATGTGTTTGTTTGGTATTTGTGGAGTTATGTTGAATACTCAGTGAACACTTTGAAGCAGTGGGACATTGGGCTAATGATTGACAGTGTTCTCCACCTGTTGGAGAGGACAGGTGAGCGGGCTGTGTGGAGAGCAGGGTCCGCTGGAGAGACTGCAGGCTGGGCTGAGCCTGCTCAACAGCAGCACACACACCCTGGAGCGCCACGTGAACACCATCAGCCTCCAACCAGGTAGGACACACATATATGTGTGTGTGTGTGTGTGTGTGTGTGTGTGTGTGTGTGTGTGTGTGTGTGTGTGTGTGTGTGTGTGTGTGTGTGTGTGTGTGTGTGTGTGTGTGTGTGTTTATATTTAAATACTATTCCAGGGAAATTCATTTACATCTCAAAAAGCGTTCGTAGCTGTTGCTTTCTGATAGATGTATTTTAAGATTAACACTGCTGAACTGCAAATTGTAAAACTGTAACAACCTGAACATAACTTTTAGGTCAGAATTTATGAAGCTTTGCATCGTTTGTGTGTCCCCAGGAGCTCCTGGTTCTCCAGGTAGAGAGGGGCTTCAAGGACCTCAAGGTGTGCCAGGAGAGAGAGGCCTCAAAGGTGAGTCAGCATAAACCAATAAAGTAAAAGTTAGCACGAGAAACAGGTTTGTGCAGGGCTGGCCAGGTTGAGGCCCCCTCCGCGAGGAGAGGCCCCACGCAGTCTGCGTGATCTGTGTGTAGTGAGGGGCGGCCCTGGGTTTGTGTTAAGCAACCAAACATACCCTGGTGCTGAAAACACAGAGAGACACAACCATGGGAGAAATAGATGGACCTACACTAATCTCAGAAGCATCTCAACAATACTCATACAATGTTGTGTCTGACATCAGTGTGCTTCAGAAAACCTGTTGGAGTCCGCTGAACCTCTGAGCAAAATAAACATCAGGTACTTATTGTGAAACGTTCATTGTATAACAGCTGTGCAGAGCAGCATGTGTGTGTGCAGCATGAGGCGTGAGGCCGCCATGATGAGCTGTCAGCCTGCTGATGATTCCGGCTGATGGATGGGCTGCTGCCACTACATCACAAACCCACACAGCTTAGCCAGTGCACTGACATCACCTGAATGAAATATTTATCGGGGCTGGACCTTTTAATAAAGTTGACAAACTACCTCTATCTGATTTTTCTATAGGACCATTAGGTCAACAAAAATGTATGTTAATAAATTACAAAAAATTAAATTAGGACTGTATATTCCAACCAGATTGGAATGTAGAAAAGGATTTGCAAAATAAGTTTATTAACTTAAATTGTAAATAATTGAAACATTTTACCTAAGGGGCGCAGGGTTAGGGTTACTTTCGGGGTCAATTGGAGCCAAGAGAATATACAGTATTACTCAAATCCTGGCTATGGCTGCAGCTCTAAAAAATATCTTGAAAAGTTTTACTTTATCCCCAAACTACCCCAGACTGCCATGCACTTAGCCATTTATGTTAGTGATCCTACAAGACTAAAATAATTTGCTGAATGAAATTCCGGTGATGCTTCCAAAGGGCGAAATTTCAATAACATTTTTTTTTAAAATCCAACTAATGGGGAATGCAGCATTATCAAATGTGAATTTCCAGAATTCAAATTGTACGATCTACTCCCTAGGAGGAGTTCGGAAAAGTTTGCTAAAAACCCAGGAAAAATGCACATCATTTAAAATGGCCAACATCCTAATGAAAGACATATTTAGCTTTTAAAAGTGTTCACAATTGCATGAGAAATTTGCAATAGGGGAATATGAATATGTGTGCCGAAATTTCAGGAAACTTAATGTGCGAGTGGTGTGGCCTTTCCAAAATACATTCTACCTAGGTGGTGTTAGAGAGTCCGCTGGCCACGCCCGAACGCATTCATTGTAGAACCTTGCAGTTTTTTGCTAGGTCTCCTCTCACTTTAGTAATATGACAACTTTGGCCCCTAATCAGCAGATTACTACAGTATGACATTCATTGAGCAACTTCCGGATGTAAACCTCTCATTTCCCACCTCGAGATCAGTGCACTCAGTTTTTTTAATTCTAACTTTGTTCAGCTGGACTCATAAGTGCTGCAGCACCCCCTGTTGGTGAATGGTTACTATTATGTTCATGTTACTGTTGAAGTCTCTCCCCACTTTTGGCCGCACCCCCTAAGTAAAATGACTTCCCGCGGCTATGGCTGGACTTCCAGGAACCTGTGACTGAACTATATATTCATATAATTGTCACATGTGTGTAGTGTAAAGGCCTAAAAGCTGAAAACTGCTTTTCAGGTGACAGTGGTGTTGCTGGCCCTCTAGGACCTAAGGGTGAAATGGGACTCAAGGGCCAACCTGGAGAGCCTGGAGTTGATGGTCAAATTGGTGAGCTTCATAATAATTATTTGTAAATGTATTTATTTGTTGTAATCTTCTAGATGTGATTTTTTGAGAAGATGCTTACATTTAGAAAAGACAACAGAAAAGGGGTGTCCCAAACAAACTGCTGAAAGTTGAATACAAATCCTCCAGATAGACACATGTGGAAAGACTTTACTTCTACCTCAGCTGTGCTTTATTTTTTTCAAATGTAGTCAACATCGTCCTGTTCTTAAGTTTTAATTGTCTCAAATAATTGGTATTTAAATCTTACCTTAATAAAAGAAAAAAACGTACATTTATTTTAGTGTAGTTGTACTCAATAAAAAACGCTGCCATTTCAGTCCTTAAAGCTTAGCAAACTTACTGTGCTCACGGTGTTCTCCTTTACATGTTTTTGTGAACATTATTAGGTAGGTGTGTTTCATGTCAATCTACCTCTTCTTTTTGCTACTTACGTAAATCACATTTAATTGAATTGAATGCCCACAGGCAAAGTCTAAAGAAATGCGCATTACTTAAAGGGGACCTATCATGCAAAATGCACTTTTGTACGTCTTTTATACATGAATATGTGTCCCCGGTGTTCCAGGGAACTCACCAAGTGTCAGAAAACACAACCCTCTCTATTTTCCTCCATACCCAAATCTCTAAAAAAGGGGCTGCAACGGATCTGATAAAAACTGATCCAGATTTGAACACTGTCCTGACGTCAGGACGGTGGCGCTACGGCTATTGGGCCAACTCTCCACCTATCAGGGGAATGTGGGGTTGGGCCACGGCCGGCCATTGCCGCTTGAAAGCGCTGGAGACGCTGTAGTACATATGCCAGGCCTGTAAGTGGCGCTGTAGTCTGCCACAAAAGCAGCGAAGAAGACTTCCCGCGCATATGGTAACCCCTTCTGTTTATTCTCCGCTGTGGCTTTTTTTCTCCCTCCCCGAGGCAAGCGTTTGCTCCCGCTGCTTTAATTCAATGCAATCCCTCCCCGTTGAGGCAAGCACTGTAATTCTCTCCAGTTAGTCCACCAGCAGATGACAAACACCCACCTCTCCGCCTCTTCCAAGGAACGAGGGGACCGTGCGGCAGAGTTTCAGTTAGGTTTTCTTTCGCCGGTCAAGATGTCCGTTAAAGTTTAAATCTTCCGGACAAAATTAGAAAAGTGCCGGTCAAAGGTCTTCTTTGTTATTTATTGAGCTTTAAAACAAATGAATAACGATTCTATAGGCCTAAAATAACACGGAGGACGGAGATCTATTTTTCTCCCCCTCTTCTGACTTCATCAGAGCACGGCTCCCCTCTCCTGCAAGGGGGCGTAGTCAGCTGCAGCTCACAGAATCAGACCCGTAGACAGCAAACAGCAAATAGAGCGAAATGAGGCATGGCTAAAATGCATGATCTGTTTGGTATTTTGAAAACAGAAACGTATAAATATACCTTATATAGGTATGGCCCTACAATATATCATTTAAATATAGCATGATAGGTCCACTTTAAATGAGCTTTTAAGGGTTCAAGCAATATATATTTGACAGTGAGACAGCCTTATTGGGTCATCGACTGTATGACCAATGACTGAAAATTAGCAGATCAGCAGATCAGCAGACTGTAATTGCGAAAATATGAAAATTCAGTTTCTCTTCCTCCTTCCACTTCTGGTCATCTCCTGTAATATCGCTGACACAGCTCCATTTCACGTGATGTATGATACAATTTGCACAGCTTGATTTTAAGAAATATATATGTGTGTGTGTGTGTGTTTGAATGCAGGACCCAGGGGTTCATCTGGGGTCCCAGGAGCCCCAGGGGAGCAAGGTCCAGGTGCAAAGGGAGAGAAAGGAGACCTGGGGGCCCAAGGTAAGGGTTTGGACAGTGTTTGGTTCTATTATCTGATGAGCCAGTTGCTTGTGTTCATACTTTGTTGTTGAAATTACTGTTATAGACCAATCTGCCTGTCGTTATTTATTTCAAGGAATTTTTTTTCCTGAAAGGTCGAGGGACTTCATTGAGCTGCCATACTGAGTGTTGTCAATCATTGCTTGTGTTTCAGTTGGAACGGACTCAGTTTATTAAACACTAACATTATGGGCAAGTGTTAGTTGGCCTCTAAACATGAATATTTCTTTAAACTGTAGATTGAATCCACTCAGTGATGTTCAGCAAGTGTCTTTCATAAGATGTATTTTTGTTATCTTGTCTTCAGGTGTAAGAGGACCTCCAGGTTTCAATGGAACTCAAGGTGAGAGTCGAATAAGGTTAGAGAAACCTCAATTAGAATCATGTTTCTTCCTTATGTGATGTACTGTAACATAAAACATAGAATAACAAAAACTAATAAAATATAAAAAAACATTTCAGATTAAGTTGAAGAACAGATTTAACACCAGGGTTTAAATGTATGAATGATATCTGAGAACAAAAAAACATCCAGTTTTACAAAAAAAACAGGAATAAGAGACAATGCCTGTAGTTTTTACATCTTAAGTATTAAAGGTGGGGTAGGTAATTTCGGAGAAACCAGCTCGAGTGCGCTAGAATTTGAAAAAACACAACTGGAGAAAAGCTGCCACTTCCTTACAGAGCCCCTCCTCCAACACACACGAACGCGCACATGACCAATGAGGGCACGAGATAAGTTTGTGCACAGATGGAAGGCTGACAGGCAGGTAGGTCATCCAGTTATTTTAGCCGGGCCGGCTAAAATGATTGGTCGTGCTTTTTACAGTATTACGGCTTCCACAGATGACATTTTTTTATGGATTTTTTGTCAAAGCACTTAAAGGAGAGGTGTCATGGCCATTTCCACTGATCATAATTCCATTGTTGAGGTCTACTAAAATAGATTTATACTGTGCATTTTTCCAAACTCACATTGGTTTCTCATACAGCATCTCTGTAAACTACTTGTATTCACTGAATTTCACTATCTGCCTTTAACGGCTCGTTGTAGCTCCAAAAGCTCCAGCCCCCACCCTCCCTGTGAGCACAGTGTGCTCTGATTGGTCGGGACGTTGTGAATCGCGCTGAGCTCCGTGGAGGTGTTGTTTCCTTGTTTAGGATACATAGCGAAACACAGCCAAACTCATCCTGAGCACACACAAAGTCACAGCCGAAGTAAAAACAATAAGTGTGGCTTGATATTGAGTAAGAAAAAATTTGATAAACGCTGTGAGAATGGGTCTGCAGAGAGAATGGGTCTGTAGAGAGAATGGGTCTGCAGAGAGAATTTTGCCGCGATCCCAACTGTCTGTTATCAGCCTGCAGCCAGGGAGGAGAAATCAGCTGAGCTGCCTGCTCCCTGCACACAGATGTGTGTGTGAGGAAGTCCGTGGATCGGTCAATTTGGACGAATCTGCGGGGGCTTAACGTAACGGCTCCGCGGACGTAACGTAACGGCTCTTCGGGATTGGTCCATTTCGTTCCGGGTACCGCTTGACATCATGCCGTTCCCGGAACGAAATGGAAGACTCAAATGGGCAGTGACGTATCTCCAACGAGGCATTTTGGGGAGGTATTTTCTGTGTTAGAGTTTTACTCGCTACAGGGTGTACTTTGAGGGTTTTGACTCTGCACACCGTTTACATGCATAAAAACCTTCATAACACACAAGGGGACGGGTAATAACCGGAAAAGCATGACACCTCTCCTTTAAGATATTCATTGCTATCGGGATGTTAAGAGCATTCCATGGAATATAACAAAAAGTGTATCTCGAGCCGATTTCTCAAACTTACCTACCCCACCTTTAAGTGTGGGTTTCTTTAGGAGAGGCTTTACTCTGCCTCGTTAAGAGTGTTTGGATACGGATGTGTTGATGAAATGGATGAGAAAAGGAAGAGGGTGAGTTGGGAAATGACAAGTGTACGTCATCTATATTTTTCATAATATGGAGAGTGTACACATGTCTGAATAAGGAGAGGGAGAAATAGGCACTTAATGTTAATCAGCCCAGTTAGACTCCTTTGTCTTTGCCTACTACAACAACCCTAGCTTGAGTTTAATATTAAAAGCTTAAAAGGTTTAAAATGTGATTTTACCCAAACATATTTAAAAAACATTAATGACAGAAAAAAATTATGTAAGAGAATATTCTCAACAAATTCCTTTGCAATCCAGAAGTCTAAAATATCTAGCAGTCTCAAAGTGGCTGTATTGATATGCACTCACATCTAAAGGCCTCCCAGCCTGCTGACACCTGCACTAAACCATGTTCAAAAATACCTCTGATACATCATTAGGACATTCTCCGTTGATGGAGTGTGTACCTATCATTTCATGTAAACTGTCAGTGTGTTGTGAAGATTGATTCCCATAGATATATAAACATGTTTCCTCCACAGGCCCCCCCGGTTTCCCCGGTGCCAAAGGAGACAAGGGAGACCCAGGAATAACACAAGAGAGTAAGTCAATATGTGAATTTAGAAAGTCAACAATAGATTTAAAAAAACTTCTCAGTACATTTAATCAAATGCTATACTTAAATACATTGTTGTGATATTATACATGCAGTTTATTGATAAAAATTGTCATTCTGCATGTTTCGGTTTGGTTCTTGACTTATTTTTAATACTAATACATTTGTACTTTAACTTACATAAAATATGTGATTCTTCTTCCACCTCTTCAACGACTACAACTTTAACAAATTGCTCTTAATAAAAAAGTCAAAGCAGCAGTACACATATAAATATATATATATATATGCATACAGTATATTATAAATACTGCGTATATCCACTTGGACCTCCCCTCTTTGTGTACTCACAGAGCTGGTGCGGCTGGTCCCGGGGCCATCTCGAGGCCGGGTGGAGGTGCAGCATAACGGGGTGTGGGGCACCGTGTGTGACGACAAATTCGACACCGTGGATGGGAAGGTGATCTGTAAGATGCTTGGCTTCCAGACCGCCTTCAGCACCTTCACTGCCAGCGGAGGTGAGTCTGCTGAGGTCACCACTCTGCAGCACACAGCATCCAACAGCTCACATCCAACATCTCACATCCAACAGCACCACACAGCATCCAACAACTCACATCCAACAGTACCACATAGCATCCAACAGCTCACATCCAACAGCACCACACAGCATCCAACAGCACACATCCAACAGCACCACACAGCATCCAACAGCTCACATCCAACAGCACCACACAGCATCCAACAGCTCACATCCAACAGCACCACCCAGCACCCCACAGCATCCAACAGCACCACACAGCATCCAACAGCTCACATCCAACAGCACCACACAGCATCCAACAGCTCACATCCAACAGCACCACACAGCATCCAACAGCTCACATCCAACAGCACCACACAGCATCCAACAGCACACATCCAACAGCACCACACAGCATCCAACAGCTCACATCCAACAGCACCACACAGCATCCAACAGCTCACATCCAACAGCACCACACAGCATCCAACAGCTCACATCCAACAGCATCACACAGCATCCAACAGCTCACATCCAACAGCATCACACAGCATCCAACAGCACCACACAGAATCCAACAGCACCACACAACATCCAACAGCTCACATCCAACAGCACCACACAGCATCCAACAGCTCACATCCAACAGCACCACCCAGCACCCCACAGCATCCAACAGCACCACACAGCATCCAACAGCACCACACACCATCCAACAGCATCCAACAGCACCACACAGCATCCAACAGCTCACATCCAACAGCACCACACAGCATCCAACAGCTCACATCCAACAGCACCACCCAGCACCACAACAGCACCCACCCAGCACCACACAGCATCCAACAGCTCACATCCAACAGCACCACCCAGCACCACACAGCACCACCCAGCACCACACAGCACCACCCAGCACCACACAGCATCCAACAGCACCACACACCATCCAACAGCACCACACACCATCCAACAGGTGCAGGTCTCCCTTGAAAAAGAGATCTATGATCTCAAGGGACAATCTGGATAAATAAAGGTTTGAAATGAAATGAACAGCATCCAACAGCACCACACAGCATCCAACAGCTCACATCCAACAGCACCACACAGCATCTCACATCTGTGTTTTTTCGAGAGAACTCTTTTCACGGCGTTAATGTATTCATTAACTAGCTAAGAGAGCAGCATGGTTGAGTGTTTGCTGGCACATAAAGGACATGTTGTCATGCACCTTGGATTTTATTTGTATAAGTTAAATGATATATATTATTTTATGGATAAATTACTAATTACATAAGTAACAGCTGATCATCTTTGACAGGGCCAATGTATGACAAGTAAACAATTCCAACACTTTGTCCAGTTTATTATAATATAAAAGCTGAAATATTAGCACACCATAAATACTGGTAATAATCACTCATTGCACCTAACCACAGAAAGTAAATTGAAACAGGACACTGGCGTGTAACGTTGAGCGAGCTACTGACAGTCCTAAATAAAACATTTGCTTTTATTTTATTTTCAAATGATGTTTTAAACAAACCTGCCATTTGTTTAAAACTGAATTTATACTAGTGCTTTTAATCGCTTAAAAAATGTAAATGTGTTAATCACAAAAATAATCTGTGATTAATCATGATTAATGACGTTTGTAATACTTGTGTTTGTATGGGTGGTGTTAGGTAAAGAAATGCATGACAAAATATGAGCGAAATCAGAGGGTGTTTTACTTTATTATAACACGATTACTGAATAATTGGCATGAAGTCAGACAGTAATCTGACAGCTATCTAAAGCATGGACAAAGCCGCTGTCAGAGAGCCGCTGTGATTGCCCTCTGTGTAATGTGTGCTACACAGAGCAAATCCTCTCTGCTGCTATCATACTGCAGCTCTATCTGTTCCTACAAAGCAGTGATTGTTCCTACTGATGTCCACTGGTCTCCAGTCAGGGCAGTAGATGTCGCTTTCTTTGCCTTTTCACTGCCATGCAGTTCATGGTAAACATCCATGCTGGAACCATAACAAATAAAAAAGCGCTGTCCTTCTGTAGGGACCGGGAGGATCTTGCTGGATGAGCTGCAATGTTTGGGAACAGAGTCAAACATCTTTAACTGCCGTCACAGTGGAGTGGGTGTTAACAACTGCAATCACAGCGAGGACGCCGGGCTGCTGTGTGTTTAGAGTCCACTCTGAAGAATGTGTTTCAAAACCATTCATTGACAATATGCACATGTCTCACTGGGGATATGAACAATTAATTGTGCTGCTACTAATGATGTCCACAGCTGGATTTAAATTCATATTATTGAAACACAGCATATAAAATGGCTTTTAGTTAAATTGTCACTGCATCACTTAACAAGTTCTGTCTGTAAAATTGATAATGGCATAAAAATGTTCCTGGAAAATATCTCTGGCATCTTTTCTTCATTCTGTACTCAGTGGATTAATAATATGTATCCCCAATTCAACCCCAAATCACTGCTGCACTGCCCTCATCAGAATCAATCCCCTTCCTCCACATGGCCTCTCTTGCCTTCAGTGACAGTCTGCCATCCACCATACACCACCTCAGAGGACTTTGCAAATATCAAGAGGTCCCATTGAAGGACACGAGTCATGCTGGAAAATGGTTTTTGACACAGCTCACCTGCTTCAGGCAACATGCTCTAACTACACATGTTGAGTAAATATATAGTGGCTTCACAACGTTCTTAGCAAAAAATAAATTACTATTATAATTGCTTTTTTTATTATTTGATACCCTTTTTATCCATCTGTAGTGGTGACCAGAGCTGTGGTTTTTTCGGGCTGTTCAACAGAACCATTTTATCCAGATATCTCAGGGACGTTTTTAGCAGATGTGACCACTGAAGGATTAACTCATTAGGTTTTTGTGTTCAAAGTTACTGTGAACTTACATGTGTCCATTTGCATCAACTTAAACTCAAGAATAAACAAAAGAAAATATAATTTGTCATTATGAACTCACAAAAAAGTTTGGGGCCAAAACTCAAGAATCTATTCGCTCACATTGAGGTCTCACAGGATGTAAAACGCAACTTGACCATTCGGTAGATTTTTGTTTTAATCTTGAATTAATGATAACATTCAAATCTTTAGGATAGATGTATGATGAATACATTGGTAGGTGGAACTGATATTTTTAGCCCAACTCCCTCCTGGTGAAATTTTAGAATACTTCCAATCCTGCTCATTCTCAGTCAGTCAGTGAGGGGGTGAGATAACACAGAATGTACTTGAAGGTTTGAGGATCATGAACTTTGAGAAATAAAATCATGTATTTAAACTTAAAATAAGTATTTGAAAAGTTAAGTAAAAATATTACTTTTTATATTTCACTTTTATATATATTTTTATTTTCAAGGCCTTATTTTAAAGTTGAACATAACATTTTTATGCCATTACAGATATTTTTTCAGTTTTCTGAACTGAAAAAGGAAATTAATTAATTTGTTCAAAATAAGAACTGAATCAAAGTAATTTTCAACCTTAAAAAAGAAACGTGTGTGAATACATTATTGTATTTTTTTCCAAACAATCAAAGCTTTTGGCCAGGATTTTGCTCCATAGTTAGTTACTAGTTACTCACTATTTCCTTATGAGAAACAAGTGGTATTACAAAACAGGATGAGCCGGAGCTAGTCAATGTGGCGGCACGTGGGAGTGTTTGTTTGAAATCCTATTTAAGATCTACATTTGGCCAAAAGCCAGACAACGCCACCTTGGGAATTGCACCCAAGGAAATAAACTACAAAAAGATTGTGTTAAAAATGTCAATCTGGTTGTGAGATTAAAGATTACACATAAATTAAAAACAGAAATGCTGGTTTTAATCATCAGCAGTTTGCCTGACTGATGAGCAAGTACACATTGAAATGCAGATTGAGGCATTTCATTTCAGTACAGGACTGCTGTAAATGGTTTTGCTACCAAGAGAAAGTGAGACATCATTACAGCACAACTGGAACACTCCCTTTACAGCCAGGCCAGGCAGTGCTTGATTCATGCATCAGCCTGTTTTTCCCTTCAGGTGACGGCAGCCTAAGTCCATTTGCCATCATGTCTCCTCAAGCCTACTTATCTTCCCTATGTCCTTCTATCATCATGCAGAGGGATGGCTTGGAATTGACAGCCTGCAAGGCATATTAAAACTACAAAGTGCTGATTATAATTCAGCAGCCCTGTCCCTACATTCCTGTGCTGGGTAAGAGCTAGAAATAAAGGGGGGGGTGTCTCACTCCGTTGTTTATTAGCCAGACCAACCCTAGGTCACTGAGGCCTGCTCCCCGGGTGGGGGAGAGCAACACAGTCTCACTCCCTAATAGTCCAATAGCGACGCTTGCAGTTGTGACGCACCGAGTCTCCTTCAGCTTCATAAACGGACGCAAAGAGCTTTCAACTGATTGCAATGTATTCCCATCGGCGGCAGTACTTGAGGCTCAGGGAAGCACCGCATCGGTCCATGTCGGCGGCAGTTAAAGGCAATGTGAGCGTCCATTCCCATTGGATAACGGAGAATTTTACACCCGGAAATAAGTATTCTCCTACCTGTCGATTGATTTTACAGTGATATCTGCACTACTCATCAACTCAAAAACACCAGATTATCCTTGTTAATTACACAACATTGATTGGTTTAAATTGTGTACAATGGTTTTGTGTTTTTCCCCTTCGACTCTGAGAAACAAATAGTTGTATCGGAGTTTAGGTTGGCCGAAGACACTATACTACCCCTAATCCTCAGCTATCGTTTGAGACTACACCATGCGCTTTGCTCGACAAACCCCGTGATTAGTCCTCAAGCTCTGTCATTGGTTGACCTCCAACTGTATTCCATATGAAAAGAAAACGTTTCGTAAAAGATAAAATCATACTTTATTCAGCTAGTGCTTGCTTTACTCTTTGAAAGTCATCACATAAATGCATTGTAATAAATGGTTCGGCTGCATTAAATATTACACATCTGGCTTAGTTCTTTATTTATCTACAGAGATTGGGCCTCAGAATAGGCCGGAAACTATTCTTTTACCGTTCTGTTTTAATTTCACAATAAAGTTAATCGTAATATTTTGTTTGATATTATAATGTTTTATTAACTAGACAGCTGAGTCATGTTAAGACCATCTTGTCTGTGTTGCTGTGGGTTTTTCCCATCGCTTTTGAGTTACAAATATCAAAACAATATATGTGTGGTCGTCTGTGGATAACAAAATATATCCGTCGTAAACAGTGGCGGCGCCAGGGTATGGCTGGGGTAGGCTACAGCCATACCAAGAAATGGCTTAGCCCCATCTTAGCCCCGCCATGAAAAATGATGTTAAAGTAAGCAAAATAAAGTCCGCCAACTCGCGCGGAGTAAATTGCACAGACAGCAGTTAGTAAGATTGATTTCAGTAGCCACTTGTCTGGAAATACCGAAGACTAGAAACGGTTTTGAAAACTTTTGTCACGTAGTGATCGTCTTCTCAATAAAACATCTTTGATAATGTCTTCTGGCCAATCAGAATCACGATAACGGCGTGGTGTTGTTGCAGGAAGTCCCGACGGAGAATACTTTTGCTGTAGTACATCTGGCTACATCGATACAACATTACGTGTTGATAGAAATCAACACGTAATGAAATAAGACCCCACGGTTTGATGATTGATAGGTGTGTGGGCTGTCTTTCATTTTGACACACAGAACATATCCACCCTTATCCACAATGTAAAGTAATTCACACAGCCTCTTCCCTCTTCTCTCTGTGAGGAGCAGCAGGTTCAGCTTTCAGAACAAAGTAACACAAAACAAAAATGGCATTCATTTTTTTAAACGTGTAGTAATAGATTTATTTATTTTTCTTCTCAAGAGAGTACCAGAATGTGTATTTTATGTTAGTATTTCAAAAAATCTCCTTGGAGAGAATCCCCCCAGACCCCCCTGCAGGGGTTGGGTTTTCAGCATGTCAACTCTTTCACCTGTGGGCAAATTGCAGGATTGGCTCCAGGTCGCCCTTTTTATTTACTACAAGACAAATGTGCCTTTTTATTTCATGCAGTTCAATTTGGATTGAGACAGGGAAATAATCTAAACCTCACGCGTGGCGTTTCACTGTCAAGGGGGGCGATATAGCGTGTATGTAATTACATTGCAAATACTGACTTGAGCCCCACCACTGTATGGGTTAGCCCTACCATAGATTACCCAACAAAAATACTCTGGCGCCGCCACTGGTCGTAAACTAAACCGGAAACAGCAGTATATTTTATTGTGACAGCTTTTTAACCCGAACCACCTACTGGTTAAAGCACGTTATTACACATTTAGAGTAATTCCAATGCAGGTAGATGCCTTTTTCTTAATGTCTTTCATTTTTGTAAAGCACTTTGAATTGCCTGAAAGGTGCTATATAAATAAACTTGCCTTGCCTTGCAATGTTTTGTTGAATGTGTTATATTTGATGAAAACATTTAAATATTAAGAGTACATACAAATTAGGGGGAAAGTAGAAGGTCAATGATAGATATATAGAATAGAAAATATCAAGAAGATACTGTAAATGATCTTTACAATAAAACAGTTTAGTGCCTGATAGGAGGATTTGCAAAACAGACAAACTAATTAGGCTTTATTAAAACATTAAATAATACTTTAGGTTAAGGTCTTCTTTTAAATACATGTAAGCAAAAGGTTTTGGGGGTATCTACAGATAAATATTAAGCCTGACAAAGTACTTAACGTCTAATATATTGCATGGTTTGTTTTGGGACTTGACAATCAACTTTCCTGCAATGTTAACTATGTTGAAACACTTATTGTAACCGATATTATACATATTTATTATACTCTTATAAGATGTATGTAGATAGAATAAGAAATGTGCAGAATATGACAGTTTAATGGTGGAGGTATACACACATATTGATAGATGTCTTGTAATGCGCTGTTGAGGAACCTGCGACCCAAGTTTTTCATTCATTGCATAACTACACTGTAGTTGTGTATATGATATGTCAATAAACCTTTGAAAATCTTGAAATCTTGAAAGGAATGTGTAAAATAGCCATTATATACAGTTTTTAATGAATGATTAGAGAATAACGAGTAATGAATATGCTTTATAGCAGGGGTTTTCAAAGTGTGGGAAGGTGAGCCTCCCCTCAGAGAACATAAGAATAGCCGTGCCCCCCCTCCCAATTATTATTGCTATTATTATTATTATTATTATTATTATTATTATTGTTGTTGTTGTTTCTATAATGCAGGGATATTCAATTGCATTTCAAAGAGGTCCAGTAAGAGAAAATGTCATTAAATGCTCTGTTTTCACTGTCTACCTTTCTCTTTTTTGAGCATGCCATTTGAAATAGCCTACTCCGACTGTTTTTCTCTTCTTGTCTCGTCTC